AGTGGTACCTCAGGTTACATACGTTTTAGGTTACAGACGCTTCAGGTTACAGACTCCGCTAACCCAGAAATAGTACCTTGGGTTAAGAACTTTGCTTCAGGATGAGAACAGAAATTGTGCTCCAGCGGCGTGGCAGCAGCAGGAGGCCCCATTAGCTAAAGTGGTGCTTCAGGTTAAGAACAGTTTCAGGTTAAGAACGGACCTCCAGAACGAATTAAGTTCTTAACCCGAGGTACCACTGTACACACTTATAATAGTCAGCTATATAAGTGGTTTTCAATGGGTGGTTCACGTAACCCACCCAGGGGTCTGTGGCACCAGTCACATGACAAAAACTACCGTAGAGCTATCAACATTTTCAAAAGTAGGGGGTGCGCAGTATTTAGCTAATTAGGAACCACTGGACAGTCGTACCTTGGTTTTCGAATAGGTTAGCTCTTGAACGTTTTGGCTCCTGAACACCGCAAACCCCAGAAGTGAGTGTTCCTGTTTGCGAACTATCCAACGGGGCTTCCGCTGCTTTTGATTGGCTGCAGGAGCTTCCTGCAGCCAATCAGAAGCCGCGCCTTGGTATACGAAATTTTGGAAGTTGAATGGACTTCCGGAACGGATTCCAGGATCCCCAAGGATGTGCCCTATGGGGAACTCCCTCCAGGCACCAGGCTCACTGGCAGACCAACTCTGAGTTACAATAATGTCTCCAAACGTGACATGAAGACTGCCAACATCAACCTCGCAGTGTGGGGACAGATGTTCAGTTGTGCATGGTGCATCTGCAGCAGCACAACCGAATGCCTTCCTCTGCCTCAGCTGCAACAAAACATGTCTCTCCCATATCGGTCCCCAAGCCTCACTCCTCCATTATCTCACAAGACAGACAGATGCCAACAATATATTATTAGGTCTGCCATACGCATGGCATTTCCTGGACATATCCGGGATTCACACAACTTTTGTGTCCGGATTTTCACTTTCTGAAATACGGCAACCCTGCAATCTTTGCACATGCAAATTTCATCCAGAGAGGCAGTGTGGTGCAGTGGTTAGAGAGTCGGACTAGGACCTGGGAGAGAGCAGGGTTCAAATCCCCAACTCTGCACCCCCTACACATATACATTTTTAAGACTCGCAGCCAGTGAGGGATTTGGGTTGAGGGTGTTCAAAGAGGAGGAAGAGGAGAAGACCACTCTGTTTAGTGGGGACGAGAATGCATCCCCAAACCCAGGACCACCCTCCGGCAACCACCACCTGATTCCAGCATCTCCACCCAGATCCCTGGCACCAGTCTTGGGATTTTTAGCAACTTCCTTCTGTCGCTTCTTGCGAGACCGAGGAGGGAGTCAAGGCGGGGTCCCCGGGATGAGAGGCTGGGTGGCCGCAAGGAAGAGCTGAGTCAAGGGAAAGAATAACAAGTGGCAAAACAGTGACGGGCAAGTGGGCAGGCCCAGGGCGTGGGCACGGGCACCAAGCAGAGAAAAAAGCCACTGAGAGGAGAGCAAGCTAGGGCTGGGCAGTGCCATTGCCTGGGAAAAACCTCTGCCTGCCTTCTCACAGACAGAAGGACCAGCCTCGCAGCAGGGCACAGCTCAGGGGTCCAGCAAGGCCTTTGCCCAGCCAATGCCCTCCAGATGTTGGAAGCAACAGTTCCCATCAGCCCCCGGCGGCACATCTGGAGGGCACCAACTTTATTATCGTTGTTCATTTAATTTCTATACCACTTTATATTTTAAAGAATCTCAAAGATGTTTACAGCACATTAAAACATCAAAACCAAAAATCCAGGAGAGAAAAAACAAATTCAAGCTTCAAGGAAAATGTTTCAGATCCTTCTCTAAGTGACATGTTGCTTTCTCCCTATTTATTTAACTACTTAGCTTATAGAACTGCATAATAATAATAATAATAATAATAATAATAATAATAATAATTAATAATAATTAATAAATAATTTTATTTATACCCCGCTCTCCCCAGCCAAGACCAGGCTCAGGGTGGCTAACAACCAATAATAAAAACAAGTTGATTGAAATACAACTTAAAAAACAAGACTAAAATGCAACATTAAAACATTAAAATGCAGCCTCGTCACAGGAGGAGAAAGGAAAAAAGAAAGAGGGGCAGGGAATCAAATTGATTCTAAGCCAAAGGCCGGGCGGAAGGACTCTAAGAAAGCAGTGTGAGGTAGTGGTTAGAGTGTCAGACTTGGGTGATCAACGTTCAAATCCGCACTCAGTCATGGCACTCACTGGGTGACCTTAGAGTCAGGCCCGGCCTCTTAATCTACCTCACAGGGTCATTGTAGGGATTAACTGAGGAGAGGGTGGAGGAACCATGAATTTACTGCAGAAAAAGGTGGGATGAAAATGCGATGAATAATCTCTTCTGCTGACCTGCTTAGGAGAGCTGGAGGGGTCAGCCAGATGGAGATGACTGTCGCTAACCTGGCCTCCAGAGATCTCCACGTCGTGGTCGCAATGGGACCGGCGCCAGTCGCAAAATGTGCCTGGGGAATTTCCGAAGCTGGCTTGGCAGGGGCCACACTATCATGAAATCTAGAACTTTGGCCATGTCCACAGGAGCAGTATACCTGAAGGAGCGTCTCCACCCCCATCGTTCAGCCCTGACGCTGAGGTCCAGCGCCGAGGGCCTTCTGGCGGTTCCCTCACTGCGAGAAGCCAAGTTACAGGGAACGAGGCAAAGGGCCTTTTCGGTAGTGGTGCCCGCCCTGTGGAACACCCTCCCATCAGATGTCAAAGAGATAAACAACTACCTGACATTTAGAAGACATCTGAAGGCAGCCCTGTTCAGGGAAGTTTTTAATGTGTGACATTTTAATGTATCTTTAATCTGTGTTGGAAGCTGCCCAGAGTGGCTGGGGAAACCCAGCCAGATGGGCGGGGTACAAATAATAAATTATTATTATTATTATTATTATTATTATTATTCTCAATCTGAATTGAAGCTGGTTTGAGGTGGATGGGATGCATCAAAGGGCAGTCAAGAAACAGCAGGATTGATCTGGATTGTAGCTGACGTCTACACCAGCAACAGGAGCACCCTGGGCGCTGCAGAGTAAACAGGAGTTTGTGTGTACACAGCCTTTGCTTCCTGAAGCTCTGCACTGGCAGGTCAGGGCCGGCACACCCATGAGGCAAGGTGAGACAACTGCCTTGGGCGGCAAGTTTCACTGGGGCACGAGACTCCCATGTCAACCGTTCTTCCCCCTCTTGTCCCCGATATAGATGTTCCCTCACCTCCCTGTCAGGGAGAGAGGGCGCCATTTTGGAGTCCGCCTCAGGTGCCAAAATGTCTTGGGCCTGCCCTGAGACAGGACTTCCCCAACATCTGGTGGCCCTCCAGATGTTTCCGGACTACAACTCCCATCAGCCCCAGCCAGCGCTGCCAACTTGAGGGGCATTGGAGAGAAGCACAACAGGATCCAGCCTGGGGAAGGCTGCTGCGCAGGATCTCAGCCGGAGGCCAGTTTTGACGCCTCAGATCTTTCACCAAAAGTCTGAAATGGGACCTTTCTATACACAAAGCCTTCACTCATCCGCTGAGCTACGGTGGGTGGTGTATGTACCCTGCTCTAAAAAAAGGGGGGGGGAATAAAAGTATTATTTGCCAAGGTAATCGGAACGCTGCGCCAAAGAAAACCACAGCGTTTGTGTCAATTATGCAGATTGAGCCCATTTCCCCTCCTTATTCCATCTCTACCACACTGTAATTTATTTGACTTCTGATGGCCCGGAAGAGATTTCAGGTGAGCAGGGGGAGAGAATGTCTGTGGAATCTCAAGAGCTGGGTTTGGAAACAAGGCCCTTGATCTCCTGTAGAGCCGGAGGCAAAAGGCCTGCTTTTGAGTAAAATAACCCCAAAACGTCCGGATTTGCACAATTTAATCTGAGTGCATAATCTGAGCTCCCCCTCTGATGCAGGAAAGTCTGGGCTTTTGGGCACAAAGTATGCACTGCTAGCTTTATATACCATTGTAAGATACACCCGGAAGTGAGAGCTGGACCATAAAGAAGGCTGATCGCTGAAGAATTGATGCTTTTGAATTATGGTGCTGGAGGAGACTCTTGAGAGTCCCAGGGACTGCAAGAAGATCAAACCTCTCCATTCTGAAGGAAATCAGCCCTGAGTGCTCACTGGAAGGACAGATCCTGAAGCTAAGGCTCCAATACTTTGGCCACCTCAGGAGACGAGAAGACTCCCTGGAAAAGACCCTGGTGCTGGGAAAGATGGAGGGCACAAGGAGAAGGGGACGACAGAGGACGAGATGGCTGGACAGTGTTCTTGAAGCTACCAGCATGAGTTTGACCAACCTGCGGGAGGCAGTGGAAGACAGGAGTGCCTGGCGTGCTCTGGTCCAGGGGGTCACGAAGAGTTGGACACGACTAAACGACAACAACAACAAGATACACCTGACCTGAAATTCATGTGTGGGTTTAACTGGGGCCTGCAACAGAAGGAGGTGGCAGGAGAAGGCTTCACCACGCCAGGTTGCAGAATTCGTGTGTGTTGGCAGGGAATCACTCCTTTTAAATGCTGCCCTGGGTTTAAATCTCCCTTCAGGTAGAAATCTAGCACAGCAGGATTAGTACTTGATGCCCTGGCTTTCCTATTGCAGGGAGTTGTTCTTGCTTTTTTCTTATTTTTAAAAAATGTGGCCGTCTCCATCAGCCAGCATCCAAACTAAATGGTGCTGAGCTGGTTGGTAGAAAAGCCCAGTCCAGCCTTCCCACAAATACAGCTCTCGGTTTGCTAGAAGGATGTCTGTCAATGGGGAACAGAGATATGGGGAGAGGAAGCTCCCACATACAATGGGGGCAGGGAGGAGGTCTTGGGCAACCGGAAAGACTCCTTAGCATTTATATAGCACTTCACTGTGTTCAGAGCAATTGATGTGCATTCAGTCACACAAAATCATAAAACTGTAGAGCTGGAAGGGACCACAAGGGTCATCTAGTCCAACCCCCTGAAGTACAGGAATCTTTTGCCCAACGCGGGACTCGAACCCGCAACCCTGAGATTAAGAGTTTCCTGCTCTACCAAGTGAGTTATTACCTCAGCTATCTTTACAACCACCATGGAAGGTAGGCCTGTATTATTATTATTATTATTATTATTATTATTATTATTTACATTTATTTATTTAAATTCTACACAGAGGCTGAGAAAATACTGGCTTGCCAAAGGTAGTCATCGGCAAGTCTGTCCATTCTGGTTTCTATCAGTTTCTCGTTTTTCCAGTCAAATTTCTCCAAATGCACACATGTTGCGTGAAATTTATGTCTATCATACAAATCTCTGCAAAGCAATGCCCCCTAAAAACAGGCCCTTTTGCATGTTTGTTTTCACTAATACATGCATTAATTTTTATTTTATTTTTTTTAAAAAGGGACACATTACCCCAGGATATTCATTTTTCTACACACGTCTTGGCGGGAGAACCGCATCGCAAAATTCGGAGAAGTGCAAATTCTGAAGGCTGGCTGTGTTTCGGATCTTGCGTTGCTTCAGAAAGCGTGGTTTAGGTATGTCCACCTTTCAATATGAATTTATTCAAATCCTATCCCTAACTAAAGGATCATATGTGCTCCACAAAATTGGTGTGTGCATGTGTGTGTATATTCTCTGTACAATTTGTATACAGTGTTACCTCAGGTTACATACGCTTCAGGTTACAGACTCAGCCAACCCAGAAATAGTACCTCGGTTTAAGAACTTTGCTTCAGGATGAGAACAGACATCGTGCTCCGGCAGTGTGGCAGCAGCAGGAGGCCCCATTAGCTAAAGTGGTGCTTCAGGTTAAGAGCAGTTTCAGGTTAAGTACAGACATCCAGAACGAATTAAGTATTTAACCCGAGGTACCACTGTAATTCACCATGGTCATATCAAGCTTTGCTAGTCAAGGAGTGGCGAAAGTTCCCCATCCACTGGAAATCTTATTCAACCACACCTACATCTTCTGAGACTGCTCTGGGCATTGCCCCCACACTACCATAAGGTCTAGAAACTTGATTTTTAAAACAACAAAATGAAAACTGAGAAAATGAATTCGGCATCATGTGAAAGATAGATTCTAGTACAACTACAGCAGGCAGCCTAAGGCTATGTCTAGCAAGAGTATTACATCACAGCAGTCCGATGACCTGAGCAGGGACTTCCCAGGTGGCCAGGCAGACACAAAAACAACAGCATCAACAGCCTGAGTAACTCTTCTGCCTTTAATAAAGCTGGGATCTGCAGGACTGAGCCACAGGATGCAAGTGAACAACACCAGCTGCTAGCTCACTGCAGCAGAAAATCAAACTGCTGTTAAAGGAGGCAGTTCAGAAGTAATTCTCCCTGGTGCACAGCTTTTCTGCTTAAACTGCCACCCTTTGCACCCGGACTAGGCTGGGAACAAGCCCCACTGAACTCAATATGAGTAGACCTACACAGGGACCTGTTGTGTTAACCCTTCCCCACCCGTTCTCGGTCACTCTGCTTTCCAGATCTTGTTGTTGTTTAGTCGTGCCTGACTCTTCGTGACATCAGGGTCTTTTCCAGGGAGTCTTCTCTTCTCATGAGGTGGCCAAAGTCTTGGAGCCTCAGCTTCAGGCTCTGTCCTTCCAGTGAGCACTCAGGGCTGATTTCCTTAAGAATGGAGAGGTTTGATCTTCTTGCAGTCCATGGGACTCTCAAGAGTCTCCTCCAGCACCATAATTCAAAAGCATCAATTCTTCGGCGATCAGCCTTCTTTATGGTCCAGCTCTCACTTCCTCCAGATCTTACATCTGCGTATCAAACATCTCCCTCTCCCTCCCCTCTCCCCACTTTTCTGATCTACCACATTTGACCCCATATTTTTAGACACATCTGCTTGTTTCCTCTTCGTTATCTCCCACATGCCTTCCTCTTCGTTTTATCAACTTTTCTCTCACTCTGTGCTTTATTCTCTTTGAAGCAAGCTGGCCTTACTTAATAAGACAGAGCAGTTTTGAGACACCCCATCCTTAGCCGCTCATTGCGATCTCTGTCTGAAAACTGCCCTGAGCAAAAGACCAGGATCCCTCCCCTAAGTCTGTGAAATATACTCGGAGTCAAGAGTGGATTTCATGCTCTTTATTCAGCTCATAGTGGTGAGGAGGAATGGACGTTCCCCCAGAATGTCTGCTTTATATACATTATTTACACAATGGGCCCCACGTGATTGGCTAATTCTGGGAATCACCAGTAGGCCAATCAGAGTGAGGATTCACTTCCACCTGGAGCTGGATTGGTTGGCTCCTGTGGACCAATCAGACTGCTGGATTCTGAATCCTATTGTTCTAGGACCAATCAGACTGCTGGATTTTGAATCCTATTGTTCTAGGACCAATCAGACTGCTGGATTCTGAATCCTATTGTTCTAGGACCAATCAGACTGCTGCATTCTGAATCCTAGTATTCTAGGACCAATCAGACTGCTGCATTCTGAATCCTATTGTTCTAGGACCAATCAGACTGCTGCATTCTGGACCCTAGTGTTCTAGGACCAATCAGACTGCTGCATTCTGAATCCTAGTGTTCTAGGACCAATCAGACTGCTGGATTCTGAATCCTATTGTTCTGGGACGAATCAGACTGCTGCATTCTGAATCCTATTGTTCTAGGACCAATCAGACTGCTGCATTCTGGACCCTAGTGTTCTAGGACCAATCAGACTGCTGCCTTTTGGATCCTATTCAACTCAGTACATAACACCCTGTGCACTGAGGTCATTTCAGGGCCCCGTCAGACATCATCATCACCATTCTGCATTTGTAATGATTTGTGCTCAAGGTGCTATATGTGATCCCCCTTTCCATACTGTTTCGTGTCCAAATAGTGCCTATCCCATGACCTCTCTCAGAAATAACTTTTTAATACATGGAAATGTTCTATCGCATTTGTGTCCTGCTTTCATGGCGCTGTGCCAGAGGGGTCAGCAACGATGAGGTGGCATTGGAGAAGCATTGCAGAACAAACCGAAGCAGGGTTTAGTGAGCTGGGAGAGACCATGGCAGAGAGAGAAATCCAAAAACGGAGGCAGAAGCTGAAACAGGAGAGGAGGGAGGTCAAGAGGCAGAGATGAGTCAGGCTGGTGAAGAGAAAGAGTTGTCTCCCCCTCTCCTTTCCCCTTGTCTCCCAGAACCAGAAGAGGCATGAAAAGGGTGGAGGCGAGGTTGGCTTCATGCAGGCACAGTCTCTGATTGCTTTTGGGAGTGGAAACTCTGCAGAGGAGGGGGCAGCTGTGGGGAGGTGGGGACTTTCAGTCTCGGCAACTGATCCATGGGGCCAGACCTATTGGGGATGGTGTGATTTAATGCCGGTTCGCTCCTGACAACTGGGATACTGCTTTAAGCAGTCATGTCTTTACTCCAAAGAATTCTGGGGCCTGTAGTTTAACGATGCTGAGATTTGTTAGGAGAAACCCCCCCCCTCCTATTCCCCTCACAAAACTACAATTCTCAGATCAGCCCTGAGTAATCACTGGAAGGACAGATCCTGAAGCTGAGGCTCCAATACTTTGGCCACCTCATGAGAAGAGAAGACTCCCTGGAAAAGACCCTGATGTTGGGCAAGATGGAGGGCACAAGGAGAAGGGGGCGACAGAGGACGAGATGGTGGGACAGTGTTCTCGAAGCTACCAGCATGAGTTTGACCAAACTGCAGGAGGCAGTGGAAGACAGGAGTGCCTGGTGTGCTCTGGTCCCTGGGGTCACGAAGAGTCGGACACGACTAAACGACTAAACAACAACAACAATTCCACAAACTACAGCTCCCAGAATTATTCAGGAGGAGCCATGGCAGTTTAACGTGGGGTCGCTGGGCTTCAAATGTATGGTCTGACTGCGGTTCACGTTGCAGGATATGATACCAGTCCGGAGGAGCTGTCAGAATCTGGCCTCTAGGAAAGGACACGATCCCCTCGGACCAACTGCTCCTGGCTCCATTCTGAGGCCCGTGGGTAACACCTCACAGACTCTCAACATGTGGCAAGAGAGGCCAGCTGCCTTTTGGGGGGTCCTCCTGTCCATTTTGCCCTGGACTTCTGCCCCAAATCAGCACCACTGCGGCTGCGAACAACCAGTTCCCAAGAGAGCATATCTGCAGCCTCTGCGCAGTCTTCAACTCATGCGCTCTGAACTTTGTTTCCCTCCTAAAAGCGATCCCGTCCGCACAGAGGCCTTCTCCCCTTTCTTCCAAACTGTGTGTCACTCTCTTTCGCAACAGCCTCCATAAACCATGGGTCAGCGAGCCCCATCGCCACCCCACTCGATCGCCTTCGACCACATCTCCCACGGGGCGGCCGCTCTCTTCCTGCTGCCTTGAGGCATCGCAGACGCAGCGTGTGGCTTACACCCATGGGCTACTCATCCTATAAAGTGGCTTTTTATGCGTTCAAGAGTCAGAGGCAGCCAAAATGATCAAGGCAGTGGGCGGGGGGAATAAATTCCCCTACAAGGAACAGTTTAAACCAGGAGTCAGCAAACTTTTTCAGCAGGAGGCCAGTCTATTGTCCCTCAGACCTTGTGGGGGGCCGCACTATATATTTTTTGCGGGGGGGGGGGAATGAACAAATTCCTATGCCCCACAAATAACCCAGAGATGCATTTTAAATAAAAGCACACATTCTACTCATGTAAAAACACGCTGATTCCTGGACCATCCGCGGGCCGGATTTAGAAGGCCATTGGGCCGGATCCGGCCCCCGGGCCTTAGTTTGCCTACCCATGGTTTAAACATTTGGGGCTATTTGGTTTAGGGGGAAAAAAGATGAGGTGGGAATTATGTGATTCAGGGGGAGAGGTTTATCTCCCGCTATCATAATGCATATTGCTCGATCCTGGTCCGACTGCACTGGCTGCCAATTCGTTTCCGGGCCCCATTCAAAGGGCTGGTTTGGACCTATAAAGCCTTCAACAGCTCAGGACCGCAATTCCTCAAGGACTGCCTCTGCCCGTATGAACTGTCCCAGACTCTGCGTTCATCCTCTGAGGTGATTCTTTGTGTGCCTCCTTTGCGAGAGGTCTGGAGGGTGGCAACATGACCATGGCCTTCTC